GTAAGACTTAACAGTTTTGATAGGAGTACTACTGTTTGTCAAGACTATTAACAGTTTTAATAGGAGTACTACTGTTTGGTGAGACTATTAACAGCTTTGGTAAGACTTAACAGTTTTGATAGGAGTACTACTGTTTGTCAAGACTATTAACAGTTTTAATAGTAGTACTACTGTTTGGTGAGACTATTATCAGCTTTGGTAGGAGTAATACTGCTAGGTAAGACTGTTAATGTCTTTAGCAGTGTTATTACTGTGTGAATGGGCTTTTGATGGCTACACGTAGTGCTCTCTGGTTGGCTCATTAATAGCTTTGGCACTGTATTGTTAGCCATTTAATGGTTTTCATACAGATAGTACTATCTAAATGGACAAGTCATGGCTTTGGCACAGATAGTACTATCTAATAGAACATTAAAACTGTAAATGATGTTTGTTCAGTGGGGAGTGCAAAGAGTTTAGGGTAAACAAAATTCCAAGTTACCTCATGCAGTGTCTAACAATGTATGTTCCTTGCATGTGAGTTGAGGCAAACAAATTTTTATTTCTATTATTTTCATTTAACTTTTTCTTTTTTTTTATGTAGTTTATGTTTTTAATTTTTACATTTTAGTTTCTTTTGTTAACAAATGTTTATTACTAAGTAAAAAGATATATTTATCACTGCAGGGTTAGAGTCTTCTGTTCTCAAAAACCAATCTTTATTAACCCAAAATTTTTTCACTAAATTGTTTGCTCAAAATATATTTCATGCAGCTTTCAGATATGCACTTTAAAACACAAGCAATAATTCAAACAGTAAAACAGAATGCCAAGAAACTACTGTAATTTATCAGGCCTTCTAACTTACCTGTGAAAAGGTTTAAAAATTTTCCTTACTTACCAAAGCACTAAAAAACTGCTTGAGAAGTGGCACATTTTACCAAAATAAAAGAAAAATATTACAGTCTGTAGTTCACACAGTGGCCTTTCTGTTGGTTATAAGCATGTGTTATTGGCAAGCAAGTGTTAGTAAATAAGCAATTGGTTGTGATTGGTATTAAAAAATTTATATCTCAGACCATGAAGATGGAAGGTTTATATTTTAAATTTTGTCCTGTCAGTATCTATGGTTGATGTTTCTAATTGGTGGACATTCTGAAACCCATAAAAGGGAAGAAATGAGGTGTTTCTATTGGTGAACATTTTGAAACCTGTAAAGATAAAGAAAGAAGGTATTTTTAATTGGTGGACATTCTGAAACCTGTAAAAGGGAAGAAAGAAAAATCTGAAATGGAGAATTCAGAGCAGACACACATAGAGTGAAGATTGAGAATTCATTTAAAAATTTCCTTTTTTAAATTAAGGAATTAAAACTTATATTAAAGAAATTTAAATTATAACTTATGTTTTAACACCAAATTTATGACACACACATTGATAACAAAGGTGTTTAATTACATTTTGAATATAACTCTGTAAAAGGTTATGTGATGTGCACTTTGCCCCCCCCCCCTCCTCCTCCTCACCTGTGCAATAAGGTTAATGACTGTTAGATGTAGCAATATCTGATTGGGCCCCTAATGGCTTTGGTATATGTAGCACTGTCTGATTTGACCATTAATGGCTGTGGATACATGTAACATTTTCTGGTTTGAACATTTAATGGCTTTGGATAAATGTAGCATTGTCTGGTTTAGATATTAATGACTGGTTCATGCAGCATTGTATGTATGGTAGAGGGAAATTCTGGTTTTTTGAAGCCAAATGTGAATGTTGTTAAGGCTTAGAACATGGTATGCATAAGTATCTAAATGTGGTCATTTCGTTTTGTTTCTTTTCATAGTTTGAGAACTTTTATATCTATTTTGAACTAAATAAATTTAGATGAATAGTTTATATTAGTTAAATAATACTTTGGCAAGGCTCTTTTTATACATTATCTCTCATGTAGAATATGAAAGATTGAATCTGGTGATCATGTTTTATTAACATTATTATTGTGTACAGGTAAGTATATCTAATTCACATACTCTTGTTTTTTTCTTACAGGAAATAGAATACTAACATTAGGTGATATTCCAAGGGACAAAATTTATCCATTGAAATATCCTTTGGTATTTTTTTTATATTACAACGTTATCCAGTGTGAAGTCATAGAAATTTTTATAAGACCTTTTAATTTAATAATGTATTTCCAATTCTTTAGGATCTTTGTTCATTATTGAATCCATTTGTATGATGTTTATATTATTCCATGATTTAACTATCTATATTACCTAAATTAAACCTAAATTAGCTTCTAATTTAACTATTTTGTGTTTACTGTAAAGTAATTTAGAATCATAATTACTTCCAATGTATAGCAAATTTATTATGATGCTAAAAATTGGGTTTTGGTACCCATGGTGGGCAAGCACAGATAGCCCAATGTGTAGTTTTGTGCTTTACCAAAAACAATCAAACAAGTTATAGTAAGCCTGAGAAATCAAACTACAAACATTTTAAATAATCACTTTAAACTCATTTCAATAATATTTTGAGTGTTCTGAATAAGTTTTTTATACAATGATTTTTTATCTTTTTTTTTAGTAGTATTATGGGAAACCTTGTGTCATTTCAAATTCTGAGAATAATCAAAATGGCTCATCTCTTAAAAGTTCATACATGCAGATAGAATTTATAAAAGCTTATATGAAATTGTAATGTTTTTTTATGTAATGAATAACTCTCCATGTTGTTGTTTTCAATATACTATTAACTATTCACAAGTTCTACCTTTCATTTTGAGGAACTTAAAACTATTACATTCTTAACCAAGACCCACATTAAAAGGGATTTCCATCTGCTTCTCCATGTTTAAATCTGCTCTCTGTGGAGGTTATGTCAACTTCGGAGTGTTCAGACTGTATGGTGACAGTGCCTTGGATGATGCCCTAAATGCTTTCATTAAACTTCTTTTGTCTATTTCACAGGGTGATCTTTTGGTAAGTTCTTTTGTAACCTTTTTTGCTTTAATACTGTACAACATAGAATTATGTACTTGTAAAGCTGTCATTTTGGCCCTCATTTAATTTTATTAACTTGCATGTACCTGTTTCCAAGCATATCTATTTATTCATTTAGAAACCTGGACATATATAAATAAAAAATAATAATAATAACAGATTTTCTTTTCATCACTTGTCTAAAATGTGCTTTTATATATGTTTTTTTAAGGTAGGAGATTTTGCCTGTCAACATCTTTATATCTAACAATGATTTAAAAGCCACAATTTCTTTTATAAAGATCTATGGAATTCATTGAGTGATATTTTTCACTTTGGATACGATATACATAAAAGGATGAAAAATATGTAGCAAAACTTGTTGTTCTCATGTACTATTTTTTTTTTGTCATATAGAAATTACTATTTCTAAGTCCATCTAAATAATAATAGATTGTCTCTGAAGAGATAGGTTAGACACTATGTTAAAGCTTAGATGCTTTCAACTTAACAGAAAAAAAAATCATTTTATATATATCCTCCCAATTCATGCAGTAGCAGTTATCAGGTAACCTTGGTCAGGTTTAGCAAAAATGACAAAATATTTCGGTGATTAAAGTTTTGAAATACATTAATAAATATGAATCAAGTTGAAGCTGACTGGATATGAAAAGTAGAACTTTCTGAACAACATTTAAGTTCTAAGACGAAGTATTATTCATATTATTTTTATCAAAAGGGTATCCCACAACAAAATTTTTTAAGTTTTGAACCCTAAAAAATTGTAGTTAATAGATCCGATTATGAATTTTTTAATCAGAAACTAAATGCCGTTTAGTAATTTCGTACTTAATTTTATGCAGTGTAGTTTAATATATTTGTTGTGAATAGGAAAAAGTCAGTGAAACAGGAAAATATGAACATGCTTTATGATGTAGAACATTTACAGTGGTGAAATATAGTCCTTAAGTACTAGTAATGTGCTCTGCTTGCGAGGTATTCTACACCGTAAGACTTTATCTCTCTTAAAAAACTTTTTCTAAGTAATTTTTAACTCAGAATTATGTTTAGTCCAGTCAGCCTAATTCTAAATACTTCTGAGTGAAAGCATGGCCTTTTACCCAGTACCAGGGCTCATCAAGCTGGCTGGGATACAACAGACATAGCAACTTTTCATGGACAACAGCTGTTATGATGTGAATTAGATCAAATCAGTCAATGGTACTATAAATTTTATTTGAATCATTTACAACTCAGATTTTTGGGGTAACAATTAACAACACAAGTTATTTCTTTATTTTTATTATTATTTTATTTTAATTAACTTTACCAACATTCAAAAGAACTGGTGAACCAGCAAGCTAGTCTTCTTGTTCCCATAGCAACCACAGGATCAGTAGTAGAAAACTACACAAGTAATTCTAAAAACTTATGAATGAAATCAAAGAAGAATGTGTTATCATATGTCAACCACACTGTACTTGCCATATCCAGTGTTGACAAGGTCTTTTATTTTTGATAAAAGGTAGTAATAGCAGTGACATTCAATAGGTATATAGTTGTTTATAAGCTGTTGTGAACTCATATTGGGCATTCTTAGAATCACATGATTTGAATTATCTTGAGTCTTAATATCACATCATATGCATTACATATTAATTGATTATTTTTTTTTTACAGTGTTGTGATTCTATAGTTAAATATCTAATGCCATACTTGTCTATTCTCACAGGACTACCCCAAATTGAGTCAAACTTATTATGTACTTCTAGAATGTTTAGCACAGGATCATATGAACTTCCTTAGCAATTTAGAACCTCATGTTTTTTTGTATATATTGTCATCAATATCTGAGGGTCTTACAGCTTTAGGTGAGTGTTCTTTAATTATGTAGTGTATGAGAGTTGAGTCTTTAGCTACAAAAAAGTAAAGCTTGCAGATAGATGGCATGTACGAGTTTGCTGAAAGTAATGAATTAAAGGAAAGAAATTTAATTTTTTGTAAGATTTAAGAGAGTGCTAATAATAATAAAGGGTACAAACCCTTTTAATAATTACTCAGAATTGTTATATGTATGATAATAACCTTAAAAACTATTGAAAAGGTTCATATCCTGTATATTATTATATATTATAGGTATATAATGCATGTTTAAATTTCAGGAAATAATTCATTGAGAAACTCAAAATATCAAAGCATCCTTTGAGAAAATTTCATAAGAAGATTGTTTCTAGATCATCTCAAATATTACAAGACTTGTGTTTTCCATCAGTTCTTAACTGCTATTTCTTTTACATACAACATTTGTGAAAGCAAAATTCTGAGAGTCAGATATTAATAATCATGAATATTGTATCATAACAACTTTCACACTGACAGTGATATAACATCTCAGCATATAATCCTTTACTGTTAGGATAATGCAAAGCAACATTTTCAAAACTATTTTCTTTTTGTTTGAATGTTTCATGTTAGATTTTGCTAGGAAATGACGGAAGAAGTAATGTATGTATACAAACAAGCTTTAATGAACTGAATATCCACCTAACTTTGTAATGAAAATCACAAGTGTACAACCAAAAAATAGTGAAACCAGTATTAAATTTTAAGTGACTTCTGGATAAGTGCCCTTCGTCAGTCATCATTTCAGAATTATGGCATATTGCAAAATGTAAAAATAATGTTTTACAAAACAAAAACATCTATGTTGCATTGAGCACAAAATCAACTGTATTCAGTCTGAAGTTAAAACCAGTACTAAATGATGTTAATAATGAAGGAATTGTTGAATATATTACAGTTGAAAAGTAAATAGTGGGAAATTAATTTATGCATTTTTTTCCATGACATAACTTAGTATGAAAAAATGTAATAAATGTTAACTGCTGATAAAGCTAACCACATTGCAATGGTTGACTGGAGCTGAAGTCCCGATACGAGACAAAAAAATCACACACTACACTTTGGGGTCAATGGTATATTACAAGAGTGACAGGCAAATATCACTATTTAGAACAGGCAGGCTTACCTGTGAAATATAAAAAACCTTTGTTGAGTTGCTGTCATGTTTTTATCAAACATGACTAAAATGTTGAATGCTGTTGACACAATGCAGAGCATGTGTAAACTTACCTATATTACTGTACACTCTCACCTTCCATGTGACTTGTTGCACTTTCATCAGGAAGACATCTGTAAACTTTGCTTTCCTACCATAATCCAGATTTTCTTGTTTAGAATCATGCTGCTAACTTTTCTATAATGAATTTGGATGTCAATATTTCAAGTTATATTCTTGTACTTTTTCATTTACTCACATTTAGGCCCGGCATGGCCAGGTGGTTAAGGCATTCGACTCGCAATCTGAGGGTCGCGGGTTCGAATCCC